ATTTGCACACACGTGTGTGTGTGTGTGTGTGTGTGTTTGTGTTTTTTCTGTGCCATGAAGTTGGAACCAACTTATAACGACCCTAATAGTGCTTTCAAGGTGAGATATGTAAGAAATGGTTTTGCCATTTCCACACCCCTAGTGAACTTTGATAGTTGAGTGGAGATATGAACCCTCTTCTCCAGAATCCTAATCCATCAGTATATCCACTACACTGCACTGGGAATCTATAGAGTAGACCGACTGAATCATTGGGGATTTGGTTAGTCACCTCTTCCACAAGTTGCATTGAATTTTTGGGCATACTCTAGTTGTAAATTACTCTGCTAAGCAACAGGATTTGAGGCAGTTTGCCAAACTGCAGCAAAAATTCTGGCTAGTCTCTTTGCCAGTCAGAATTACATGTCTGCCCGCCATTTTTCTTGGTCCTTTGTTACTCTTCGGACAAACGCTGGCTCTATGGCTTAGAAACGGGGATGAGCACCGCCCCCTAGAGTCGAACACGACTGGACAAAAATTGTCAAGGAGAACCTTTACCTTACTTGTTACCTGTATTTATGTAGTGCCAATGAAGAATTGAGAGGAAGACATCATGCACTGATGGGAAGGAAACTTTGTCCCCTTACCACTGCCAGAACTGAGATACACACAAGCATGTAATTATATATTTATAATGTCTGTTACCTCAGAAATAGGCTTGGTCCAGAGACACCTGTGGCAGAATGAGGTAATAGTCATGAATGAACTTTACCACTTTAAACAGCATGTATGAGGAAGTTGTATTTTTCGGTGCTCTCTTATGTAAAACAACTCCCTGCAGCCAAAAAAACACAGCAGGAAATAGGGCTGAGGTAATTTTAAAAAAGACAAGAAGTTATCCTGTCAATGCTCTGTAGGTGTACATTCTACTATAAGGTAAAGGTTCCCCTTGACAAATTGTCCAGTCATGTCTGAGTCTAGGGGGCGGTGCTCATTCCTGTTTCCAAGCCATAGAGCCAGCGTTTGTCCATAGACAGTTTCCGTGGTCAAGTGGCCAGCGCAACTAGACACAGAACGCCATTACCTTCCCACCATGGTGGTACCTATTTATCTACTCGCATTTTTACATGCTTTCGAAATGCTAGATTGGCAGGAGCTGGGACAAGTGATGGGAGCTCACTCCGTCCCATGGATTCAAAATGCTGATCTTCTGACCTTGCAGCCCAGAGGCTTTGCAGTTTAACCTGCAGCGCCACCACATCCCTCTCACATTCTACTGTACAGTGCCACTTTGCTAAAACATGGAAATCATGGTCTGTGACTTCTGAAGGATGTTAAACGAGGGTCCTCTACCCTCTGCTTGCTAAATAAATAATTTCTGAAATTCTGGTTGGTGATTCTTCGCCATTTGTATTCATTTTTTAAAAAATTAGTCATTATGCCAAGCTCTGTGAAGCAGAATATGTGCTGTGATCTAGCCTGGGGTTGGCCCTACTCCTACACAGAGAAATCTGAGAGAAGGAGCTGAACACACTCCCATACACCTTATCTTGCTACATGCCGGAAAGAATTCTGCCACAAATTTCAATTGTAGAGTGAAGCAAAGGACTCTTGCTTTTGTTGCTATCCAGAGGAAATGGCATAGTGAAAGTTTAAATAGCCTCCCCTGGAAGGCTGCTATGGCAAGGGGAAGACCAGCCAAACACCAGCCATCAGGAAGAGAAGCAGAAAGCTTGTAAAAGTTGTTGTAAGCAACTATTGAGGTAATTTGAATTATACCAAAGTCTGTCCCTGAGCCTGACTCAGGTGTGAAGTTCAAATACTACCTAGTCTGTTAAGGAAAAAGTGCACTCTGAGCACATATGGAGTGTGTTCCTCAATGAAGTTCAAGAGCAAAGCCTATAGATCTTTAGGATAAATGAAGACCTAAATCAAGCTTATTCTCAATTAGAGCGGACTTACTGAATGAATGGGCTCCTAGGAGATCATCATAATAGTCCAGTATCACAAAGAGGGTTCAGTTAAAGCCAAAGGCATATGTTACTTTGGGCCAGAATTCAGGGCTTTTTTTTTTAAAAGGAAACCTTATTTTCTCTAAAAAATGTCCTTAGTGCTGATGATTAACCATGCTGGTAACCTCTTGAACTGTAATATTCATTACAGCTGAAGAACTGCTTCAGAATATTTATATCCAAGGAGGGGGGGGACAAGCATCAAAGCAAACAATCTCTTAGGCAGCTAGTCACTGGGAAAAAGCCGGCCCGAAAAGAAAACTGCCTGCCTGTGGAAGGACTGCAAAGAGGGAGCCAGCCTCGCCTCTCCTGGAAGAAGGTTCCACAGCTCAGGAGCAGCAGTTGAGAAGATGTTTTCTCAAGCCTACACCAAACACAAATGTGAGAAAAGAGCAGAAGGCCCCCAATGATTTTAAAACCCAGGGAGGCTCATAAATGGAAAGACCTTGTAGGTCTTTATAGCTCAAATCCAGAACTTCAAACTGTGCCTGGAAATGGACCAGCAGCTGCTGGAGCTGCTGTAACGGGCAGGAGGTTCATATGATTCATGTAACCAGCTCCAGTTCACAAACTTGACTGCAGCATTTTGGATCTGTAGAAATCTCCAGATACTTTCCAAAGGCAGCCCTGCGTGGAGGTCATATCCAAATGGGATGGAAAGAAAGCATCTTCTATTATGGTTGGAGATGGTTTTCTGAAGATAATTGATTGTGCTGACTTTCCCTTTCAGCATTCCCCTCTTTTTGAGACATTTAGCCTTTTGAAGGACAACATGATAGGGCTAAGTCCCTTTGCTAATTTTCTCCTTGCACTGCACTGAATATGATAGTATTGTGGCCACTATACTCCAAATCAATTCCAAAACATTCAAATCTCACTTTGAATCTGGGTACCACTTGGATTAAATCCAGGCTCTCTTCTCCTGTTGTCAGTTCAATAGCATAGCTGTATAGAGTATTTAGGAATAAACCTCTCTTTCAGGTCTGGAAACACATTAATTCCACTTTGTGTTTTTTGTCATCCATAGCTGAATAAATGTCGACAACCCTTGTAGTACAATATACCGTACTAAAACACTTTGCTTTTCAATGCCTTGCCAAATTCATTCTCTCCCCCAAGATGACTGAGCATTGTCCTCAGGGAGATGACAACATTATTTTTGAGGCCTGGGATTGTCACTGAAAGCAATTATTTGAAGATATCAACTTCTAAAAGTTTTTCACTTTGTTTGACATTGTGTCCTTCTTATCATACGGGGTGACATCACCCTACGTTACCCTTAGCTTTTCATCCTGTAGAACAAACATAGGCAACTGTGGCAATCCAGATGGTTTTGGCCTACAATAACATCAGCTCCCTTCAACTGTACCCTGAAATGCCTAGGGTGCCATAATTACCATAATATTCTGAAGGATGTTAAATAAGGGTCTTCTAACTGCCGTGATTCTTCACCCTAAAGGTATATTTTCATCCAAGAACATCTGGGGACCCAAGTTTGGGAAGCACTGGACTAGATGGAGTAGTTGAGCAAATAGTAAGATCATTCAGGTTAATCTAAATAACCTATACAGAAGCCCATTAAACCCCATGAAATTGAGGCCCCAGACAAGAACTGTTGAACTTCTTTGTACAAAACTTTTTGAACAGATTAAATACATTGGCTGTTGCTTTATATAGTAAGTTGTACTAGAGTAGATGCATTGAATCAGTGGGAATTTGGTGAATCAACATCTCCGTAGATTCCATTAATTCAATTGGGCTTACTCTAGTTGCAATTTCTTGTCCTGAAATAAGTCACAGCTAGAGTAGGCCAGTTGAAATAATAGAATTTATAGAGCTGTTGACTCATCAAATCCCCACTACTGCAATACTTTCACAATGCTAAGAAACAAGATTTCAGCCAATGCCTCATAATATAGAATTAGAATTTATAATCCCTCTTTAAAGAGATCTCATTTTAAGTTATAGCCATCACCAGTTTTTTTAAAAAAAGAAGTATTTTAATAATAAATACTAGAGATGGGGTATTCGTATATGAATATATTCATATACGAAATATTACAGATGGACTTAAAAAGGGGCCAGCCCATCCACTCATGAGTCTGGTGGCGGCAGCCTTGCTCATCATTCCTGTTGCTCCCAGAGCTCCACTCTCTTCTTCCTTGCCTGCCCACTCCAGGCAATGGGAGAGAGGACGAGTCTCCCTGCAAGGCTGCCGAATGGCCAGGCGAGTGGGAAAAGAGTGGAGCTCTGGGGGCAAAGAAAGGATGAGCGAGGCTGCCACCGCTGGATGCCTGAGTGGACAGGCGGGCTGCAGGGGCTGGTCCCTTGTTAAGTCCAGCTGAGTGGGGATATTCATATTCATATACAGGTATGAATATCCCATCTCTAATAAATAGATAAAAATATCTGATTCCAATTTTAAAAATTTATTATTTTTCCGATGTTTGCTGTGGGTTTTGGATATTCATATTCATATATGAATATCCCTATCTCTAATAAATATATAAAAATATCTGATTCCAATTTTAAAACATTATTATTTTTTTGATGTTTGCTGTGGGTTTTCCGGGCTGTTTGGCTGTGTTCTTAAGGTTTTTCTTCCTAACGTTTTGCCAGTCTCTGTGGCCAGCATCTTTAGAGGAAAGGAGTAAGAACTCTGTCTGTTCTCTGTTGCAGTTGTTGGGTAGTTGGGTATTTATAGCTGTGGGAACAGCTTTTGTCATTTTCAGGAGATTGCGTGATTATGGTGATCAGCGTGTTTTTGTTGTGGGTGTATTGTTGTGATAAGAGGGAGATATTATCTGTCAATGTGATTGATGGGTGTTGTTAGCTGAAAAAAACGCACAACACCCATCAGATCCCAGCCATGAAAGCCTTCGAGAATACATATTATTTTTTCATCATTATGTTTTTTATTACGTTTGTGTTGACTGTCAGGCTATGTCGATGGTGCATAATATTCACTGACTTTGCACTGAGTAGGTAGTTCGTCCTGTGGTGTACCTCCCCCATTACAGATCTAATAGTTTGTGTTTCTAATGACCAAATCAAACACTGTTAAGAACCCAAGAAGCATATTCTCATATATAGCTACTGTTCCAGCTATAGCTTCATTTCTCTTCTTAGACATCCTCCTTCCTGCATGCCCTTACTCACCATGATAGCAGACATGTAGTCATCACTAGAGTAGGATACCATATCCCTAAAGGTCTCATTCAAGACACATTCTCTGATGTTCTGAGCCTTTCCAGATAATCTACCTTGTCCTCAAAGGAACAATTCTCTGAGGGCAAGAAGTTAATCCCATGAAACAGTCACCCCCACCTTCTTTTCATGAGGCAAATAATCATGCATGTGATGATACTGTATCCTGAATATCTACCACATTCCTGCTGGGCTTCCACCTACATACCTGTTTTTAAAATTAGGTTTTGAGTTCTTTATCTGAAAGTTGAAGGTACTGTTTGCTCCATCATGTTGCCCAACATGCGTGGATGCTTAACAGATATATCTGCTTAACTTCTTGTTATCTTGTCACTGGGTCTGAAGTGCTCCATCTCTGAGCCGCCTTGTACCTGTAGGTTAGACCTCTTGTATTTATTTTATGTAACTTGTTTGTTTGTTTGTTTGTTTATCTATCTATCTATCTATCTATCTATCTATCTATCTATCTATCTATCTATCTATCTATCTATCTATCTATTTATTTATTTATTTAACCTAT